CCCCAAAACCCCAAAACCCCAAAACCCCATTGGAGTTTATATTTCAAAGCTGGAGTAAAGTCATAAATATATTAAAATAGAAATGAGGATAATTTTGCAGCAAGATATTACAATTAAGCCCTAAGAGAAGAAGATAATTGAACACCTAGCAAAAGTGGTTGAGTTCAAGAAGTACTATAAACCCTACGACAAAAAGAATCTAGATTTTACTTAGGAGCTTAAAAATGATGTCAACACATTACCTTTAGAAGACACTATTCAAAACAATACAAAAGGCTCTATTAATGCTCAAGAAAAAATGCTATTTGGAAAATCAAAGTACTACTAAAATACTCTGGGAGACGTTTAGTAATAGTCTTAGATTAGCTAGGCAATCCCTGATATCTCATAGCAGCAAAAGTTTAGAGTATATGATTCATTCTTCAGATTCAATGCTCCTGTTTCAGAGTAACCAGAAACTAAAATGTCTAAACGCCGTCGTTAGTAAAAAATCTAATCAATAATGCAATCTACGATTAACTCTCCAGAAAAATAAAATAATATTGGACCTTCCTTCATTAGTATTGAAGATCCTTCAGCTTATCACTAGTCTCATAAGAATCTTAGTCCTTAGCGAACTATGCAAAAATCACAAAGCTCATTCCTACCTTAAATCCCTTAAAGTGTTTAAAACATCCTGAAAATCGGCTATGAAAATCCATATGCATATCGAAAATAAAAGCCATTGCTAGAAATGTATGATAATAACATAAAAAAGCAGAATCTAAATATGAAGCTATAGAAGCTAGGGAAAGCCTAGAGAGAGTATTAAAGTACATAACTGAGAAAGAAGCTTTAGTAAAGTAAAGATTAGCATCGTTTGAACACCAATGATAGTAACGAAAACTATGTTGGTACTGATAATGAAGAAAATTAACCACTTAGCGGTAGCTAAAGCAGCAAGAGAAAGATTCCACCAAAGAGAAGGTAAGACTAGGAGGAGACTGAGAAGCTAAACTATTTGTTCTAAAAGTACTCCTCTGAGAATATATAGAAGTATCTTGCCACTCTTAACAAAATGCCATTCAAAGAAGTTATTGAGCAAATTGAAAGCGATTTAAGTGTATCTGCATAGTTGCTCATTTCATTCCAAGACAACACCTATATTATCAACTAAATTGAGGAAATTCATACTGAACTTGGTAGTCTAATCCACAAAAAGAAAAAGGAAAAGGAATTATTTGATAAAATCTCGAATGAAGAGAAAAAAGAGCAATCCCTCTTTGAGAAGGCTAGGTCATTTAACCCCAAGTTCGTTGACGAGTAACTGCATAAGCATTTTGAAAAGTAAACTCATAATGCTATCAGCCAGCTCAGCTCCATGAATACAGGAATTAAGGAGATTCTTGATCATTATTAGGATTTGAAAAAGTATTATAAGGCTTTTGAAAAAGAACTAGAGGAAGAACCAAATTAATGAATAAACTATAAATTACCCATTTCAAAGTTTAGAGTAAATCATTTCTATTAATAGTCATGGGGTTTTGGGGTTTTGGGGTTTTGGGG